GCAATGGCCTCCAAGAGGCTATCGATGGCCTCCAACCTACTAGCCATGGCCTCCAACCTACTAGCAATGGTCTCCAACCTACTAGCAATGGCCTCCAACCTAGCAATGGCCTCCAACCTACTAGCGATGGCCTCCAACCTAGCTAAGGCAGGCTTTTGGCGCATTGTTTTGACCTGCCCTGAACGCCGTCCCTTCATTGCGTTTTCCAAGCTACTAGCGGCAGCTAACGCACGCACCGGCTGGCTGAGATCAGGCAATCAATGGCATCTACGAGTACATTGGTGCCCACAGTGGACGACCATGCTACAGACAGTTCATGCCTTGGCTTAAAATCTCCAAACAGAAGCTCCCTCAAATAGCTAATTATGCCTCGTTGGGCAAATCCATTTGTTCTGCTTGGAGAAGTGAACAGTGAACACCGGTCGAACCCCAAGGACTGGCGTCTCCAGCGGCAACTTTGTGTGGTACTGCCAGGAGAATGGGGCAAACAAAGGAATGCCGAGAGAATCGGATTGCGCCCAGAAGTGGATCAAGCATTTTCACAATGCGTTTGTGAACTAGTATCTACCTTTATCATTCATATGCATATGACATGTTAGATCATTTTACACTCTGAACGATGTTCGGGTGACAAATGGTGAACACATCACCAGGATGCTTTGGAAGGCGCCATGTGGGTGCGAGGCTTAGAAAGAGCTCCCGTGGTCCCAAAGACTTCGAAGGTGAAACTATGATGTCCGTCTGAATGCGACTGGTAGCAAAGAAGACCTTCAAGCTGCTGAGGTTGTCACTCAGAACGATTCTCGGCCAGGGGAAGCGCCAGATCCTGAGAAGATCGGGAGATGAGGGACCCAAGGAGTTCGATCATGGCGGCCCAACACTTTGCTGAAGAGGCACTCCATTCCTGGGTTGGAAGCTTTCTTCAAAGTGTACTTCTGAAACACTTCTACTCCGATTGGTGATGTGCATGATATTCAAAGGACATCCAGTGTCCTGATTGAGGCCGGAAACGGCTGTTGCGAGGGCTCAGCACCTGGGTCGATGGCCTTGGGAGGACGGGTTTGGAGAGGGTGGGAGGGGTGGGTGACATAGACAGGATGCGCAAGAAAGAGATTAGAATGGATTAGAAGACAGGCAATGGATTAGAATGCCTTCAGTTTCTTGATGTCTTGGGGTTTTACGGGGCGCCGGCGCTGGCGCCACGCGTCTGACCTTCAGGTGACTGGCTGGCAAGTTTGTGGCCGAAACGATATTTTTCTCGACCAGTGGATCCCTTGGGCGAAAGTTCTGCAGGGAAGACAAGGTTTGTGGCTTTTGTTTTGCTTACCAGGGGTAGATGGAACTCATCATGCTTTTCTGAGGCCGAAGATGGCGTTCAGCCTGATGCTGCCAGCTGCGGAGTTGATCGTACAGGCTCACAAGTTCTGGCAAAGTTCATGAAGGAATGCGCTCCCCGATGCTTTTAAGCATCCCTAAAAATCTAGGAACCAAATCATCAGTGCGAGCGCTTCTTTAAGGAAGCTCTTTTGGCGGAGGGAGCTTCTTTGAAGAAGCGTGAGCTATCCTGCTTCCATACTAGTAGCTTAAGTAGCTAGGAGTGTTGTCCCTTACTTAATTAAGTAGGTGCCTACTCCTACTTCATCAAGTAAGAAGGCAGGGCCACGGGCTAAAAGATCATAAATAATATGATGGAACGGAATTGTGTTGCTGGACGATGTATCCAGGGCAGTGTCAAGGCGGTACGTTGAGGGCTCACTTGCTGCCAATTACTTGTGCCAAGTGGATGGAGTGAGGCTACCAATGTTTCAACCTTGGAAGCTATATAACGAACCACTTGTCCGGCGATGCGTTGGCACCCGCGTGTTGCCCATTTTATTTATTGCTTTTTTTAAACATGCACAGGATACATATACAGTATATATATATATATGTGTACACAATGTATACACTCCCTCCAACAATCACGAAATTGCACAATCGCCCTTTTCAGCCTTTCAGCGACAAATTACTGTTTGTAGGGGGTTTCCACTACCATCAATGACATCGTGGATCTTGTTCCTGACAGGCAAGATTCCTCTGTGTGAGATACTGTCCCACCCAAAAGTAGAAAATACACATCAAAGAAGTCTTGGACGATCTCTCCATATCTATCCATGGCTGGGCATTCCACCTTCATGAGATTCAACCCACCAACAAAAATGGGTTTCGCACAACAAGGTAGACCCACAAGAACCGGGGAACACGAACCTTTCAGAGCGCTCAACAAACACCGGTTTCGGCTGCGAAGTCTTTTGAGGCGCCGGCCCTGGACGGTGCGGTCTCCACGTGTGGCTTCCGGCGCTCGGGCTTTGTGCACGAGAGGGTGGCCTTCCGGAGGTGGAGGGAGATTGAGAAACAAGAAGCTCGTAGCGTCCGAACGCTCCTAGTAGTAAGGCCAGGAGCCCCTAGTAGCATCCTTGCTCCTAGTAGTAAGGCCAGGAGCCCCTAGCAGCGTCCTTGCTCCTAGAGGCCATTACTAGTAACAAAAAACTTTATATTACTATATAGTAGTAATGGCCTCCAACCTAGTAGCGATGGCCTCCAACCCACTATCGATGGCCTCCAACCTACTGGCGATGGCCTCCAATGTTTCTGTGAGTATTTGGGTTTGTGTTGGCGGATTGTCGGCCTTAGTTAGTTGATAGGTTGGGATCTCAAGTCTCGACAGTTTCTTCTTGTTTCGTTCTCTGTCCTCCGGCAGGACTGGGGACACAGATGGCTGGCACCTGAGATCCGTTATCAGAAGTCTTTGTGTCAAGGAGGCAATTGAGGCAATGGGAAGAAACATGAAGAAGCATATTGTTTCATGTAAGTGGATGGGAATGTTTACAGAATGAAGACTGCAGACAGAAAGCAGATTGTGCCCAGACCCTGGCATCACAAGCCTTTGGATCTTCTGGATGCCCAAGCAGGCCTTCCCACTCCGACGCACGCCAACGTGTTGATGTTTTCGACGAGAGTGGGTTGCCAGGGTCGGTGGTTGCTGGCCAACGTGAAGTTGGGGCCTCGGAGGGATTTACATTTATATAGCTTCTTGTTTCTACTAGCTTCTTGTTACTACTAGTAAGGCACTTGTTACTAGTAGCGATGCACTTGTTACTAGTAGCTTATTTTGATTCTATTTATTGTTTCTAATAGCGAAGTAGTACGGCCAGGAGCCCCTAGTAGCGTTCTTGCTCCTAGTAGCGATCCCTTTTGCTCCTAGTAGTGTCCTTGCCAATTTGGGTGTAGCTCAAATATGGAGATCTCCCCTTCTTCCAGAAGGGGAAATAGAGCAGTCTACCCAGCGGCCAGGAGGTCTCCCTATTAAGACGCACAAGCTTCTAGCTAGTAGTAATGGCCTCCAACCTTGTAGCGATGGCCTCCAAACTACTAGCGACGGCCTCCGACCTAGTAGCTTCTAGCAGATTCTAGCATCCCAGTATGGGTGAGGCCAGGAGGAACTGGTGTGCAGAGCGTGGTCGCAAGGAGTCTGAGTTCCGGTCCAACGATGCCCTGACGGTTCGATCCGGTTTGATGGAGCTTTAGACGTTTCTTCCGTGCTTCATGGAATGACCAGAGATCCAGACTTCCAGGAGCCTTGCAGATGATGGCTCCACTTGGGCATGTTTCTGGCCGTGGGAGGTTCGCGTTCCTTTCTATAACTTCCAGCAGTTCCTCCAGATCCTCCAGTTCAGATGCTCCATGTTTTCGCAGGTGGAAGCAGAAGGTTGGGAATCGCCAACAGCCCGCAATCTCAGAAGTGCCAAAAACGAATCTCAAACGTCAGAGTAGTCCGTCATGGAGATGGAGTTGCCCGAGGCTGACACCATTGGTCTGGAAGATGCGGATGCAATCTGGGTGGGGCACTGGAGCACGGACCGCTGAAGTAGTCAAGCGGACCAGCATACCCATCATATTTGGCATGTGATGTTGTTTTTGGCCATGAAGAGGGTTACCATGGGTTACCAGCAAGACGTTTTGGCTGGAGTTTCACTTGGCACCAATGCGATGTTACAGCTTGTTGCAGGTTCCGAACCGTGACATTGCTGTGCGCTTGGCCAGTCCAGCTATTGTCAGTTGCCCAGTAGCTGCAACCATCCTTTTCCGAGACTGGCACCTGAGTTGTTCAATGTTTTCACGCTGCAGATGCATTGATTCGCAGGTGTAGGCAAAATCCAGATTTTATGATACTTTGTGCATCTTTGTGCGGTTTTCTATAATGTGATACTGATAGAGAGGTAGAGGTAGCAGACGTTGTAAAAGAGGGGCGCATGAAGGATTTGAAAGATGTCCTTTTTGGAATTGAAGAGCCTACTCAATGTTCTCGAATACCTTTTGTTTTTTCACAGTTGACTTCATTACTTCTAGGATGAATCAAAATGCCTCCAGACGTTTTCTGGGGTGTGTGTGGGTACTTGAATCTTGAAGCATGAACAACTGTTTATTTTGTAGGTTGATCTTATTTGAGACCTGCAACAACTCAGACTCTACGATGAGAGTGGTTTGAGGCCGAGCAATCTCAGCCAATCTCAAAACAAAACACATAAGGGCGAAGAAACCGTTCGGTGGTAGTTTGGCATAGCACGTTGATCGCTTGCCACTTTGGGCTGGGCAGCTCGCTGCTGGCAGCTTCACTCGGATCCATGAGGCTTCATTTGAGGGTCCGCCTGCATGGGGAGCTCCGGTGTTTGGTTCTTGGACTAGACGTCGCTCCGCGCAGAAGTACCTGGTGGGAGTTCCAAACGGCCTTCCAGGAGATCGAAGCAGCCATACGAGCGGGGTTCGGTGTCTCTGCTAGAGGGAAGGCGATCAGGCGGCCTCTCCTGAATTGTGGAATAGACAGAACAGAGGACAGTGATCATAATTTCACTTAGTTTAACAAGGTTCTCAGACGGTGCATTCGAGACAAACTCCGCACCTGATGATAGGGTAGGACAGGTCATGATAGTTTTTTTTTTTCTTAAGCATTGGTGCCAAAGATCTCGTAAGGCCTTCTGGATGAGCAGGTCACCCTGAAGTACCGGGATGAGGAAGGTGATCTCTGTACCCTCACGGCCATGACGACCGAAGACTTCCTCTTTCGGCCTGGCATGTCTTGCTCGGAGGAGGTCACACCCTATGAACTGGTGGTGCAGTCTGCGCAGTCGATGCCAAGCAGTGAAGAAGCGGCCACGGCAGCTTTGGCCACGCCCTTCGACTCTGTGGAATCCGACTACCTGGCGAAAGAGGACACCAATCCGCTTCGAAGCTTAGGTCCAGTTGCCTTGCTGGCATGTCTGAAGGGAATGCACTCAAGTGGACGGCTTTCAGCAGAGGTTCTGGCTAGCCTTATCCTGCAATTCTTGCCCATTTTAGCTCAACGCGTTCAACGCAAGCAGGAAAAGATTAACCGCAAGGGTGTCAAAATGCGGCAGCACAAGTCTCTCATGCAACTCATCAAGAGCATTTGCATACATTTTCAGACACTTCCTGGTACGAGCCATATTCTCCAATCATTTGCAGCTTACCTTGCGGGCAATGAAACACAACGTCTTGGAGATACTCTGGCGGAGCTCTTGCGCTGCTTGGTCTCTTGTAAGTCTCGCTCCTCCTTAGCAGCAGCACTTGTAGCTGTAGCCAGGGACATCCTTCTGGTTTTACCATGCCTTTTTCCTGAGACCTTTCAAGAGGGCCATCCTTCACCTTGTGCTGAGTGGGCTGCAGCTCTGGTTGGAGCTCCTGTGCATGAGGATGTGGTGTGTGGCCGCTGTGGTACGTCTCCAATTGTGGGCCCCTGCTTCCAAGTGACTCGTCACAGCCTTTGTGGGGTTTGTTTCGTTGAAGAGACTGTACATGGAAAGGCTGAAGGGATTTACTCGTGTCGACTAGCCCCAGAAGGCTACAACAAAGAGGCAGCCTTTGATGATCCTCGTCCGGTCTCTTTCCTCCCACTATGGCAATCGTTGCTACCAACCACTGCACTTCCTGTAAATACCGCCCTCCTTAGCTTTCCAGCCTCTGCTTGAGCAGCTGCTTGAGAACTTGTACAGGAGGAGCTTTGGGTCACCTCCCAGAGCTTCTGATTTCGGCGCATCGCTGAGGTGCTACTGGTGAGGCGGCTTCCAAGTACCTTTATAGTATCCAGTATCCTAAAATCTGAACAGAGGCAACATCTTTGAAGGACAGGCCCGGGACTCCACTTCAGTTGAGAAGCTTTCCCAAAGATAGAATTGGCAGTAAAAACACATAAATTAAAGCACACCGGACTATTGGACTAACAAGGTCTTCTCCTCACGAGAGACATTCCCATCCCCATGGATTGTGAAGTGGTGGGTTCCCGGAGCGAGCGAACGGACAGGGCCTGCAGGGATCTGTGATAGCAAACATCCGCGTATTCTTTTTTCACGTGCTGTTCAATGACCACTGCACAGCTTTTCTTTTCAATGCATGATGTAATCTGTAGCTCTCACAAAGTATGCTCTCTTTGCTGTTTTCTTTGGGTTCGTGTAGGTGAGATTGAATATTGCATTGCTGAACACCACAATACCAACCATAACCCTGCACATCTCCCGGCGAATCCGTTGAGTTGGGAGCCCTTGAGCGGTGCACCGCTCTCTCGTCCGCGGAAAATGCACGGAGAGACGCAGGGAGCCGGGCGGATCGGCAGTAGACTAGCAGGTTTTAGACCGGCATCCCCGTATTAGACCGGCTTTTGAAAAGATTGAGAGGGTAATAGTACGCACCTGATAGTACTTGAGTGCCAGGGGCCCACAAGCACCTCACAAGTAAGACTGCCTAAAGCTATGTTTAATATGCTTTCTTCTGAAAAGTATTGAGTTCAAGCTATGGCGCGGTATTCAGCTGAACAAGAGTCCTGGAAGTAAGAATCAGGATCAATTGCGAATGCCAAGTGGATTGGCCAAACATTTGCAAGCCTTTTTTTGTGTCTCTACATGATCCCCCAGCCACTCTGGTGTTTTGGCAATTTTCTATTGCAGGTCACAGGATTCTACAAACTCCTTGACACTTCGAAGCAACTTGAAGCTTGATCTTCTCCAGGTCATTGGCACAGTGGATGATCTTGGAGCCCCTCCGGTCATCATTTGTGGCTTTTATGCTTTGCCCTCAGAATATTTTAAGGCTTACGCCTGACAGCCGGGCGCCGGCCCAACACAGGGCAAAAGTAGGACGGTGGAGGGGATAGAGGCAAAAGACATGAGGCGACGGGGCCGGGACGTCGTTTCTTTCTTTCTTTCTGTCTGTCTGTCTGCCTGCCTGTCTGCCTGCCTGTCTGCCTGCCTGCCTGCCTGTCTGTCTGTCTGTCTGTTCGTCTGTCTCTCTGTCTGTCTGTCTCTCTGTCTCTCTGCCTCTGGCTGTGTCTCTGTCTGTGTCTCTGTCTGTGTCTCCGTCTGTGTCTCTGTCTGTGTCTCTGTCTGTGTCTCTCCCTCTCTCCCTCTCTCTGTGTCTCTCTCTCTCTGTGTCTCTCTCTCTCTCTCTCTGTGTCTCTCTCTCTCTCTCTCTCTGTGTCTCTCTCTCTCTCTCTGTGTCTCTCTCTCTCTCTCTCTGTGTCTCTCTCTGTGTCTGTGT